ACTGGATAATACAGAGCAGTCATTTTATAATTAAAAAGTATATGACTGTTGTTATTCTATAAAACCGATCTACAGAAATAACATTAGGTCTCATTGGATTATGGATGAAGTGTAAGCACCCTAAAATTTAAAGAACAAGATCTCTGCCGAAAAACTTAACATAACACTTTTTTATTTCAGTTATAAGTAGCGAAGAGTAACATTGTAAAAGAATATTTTTCACCTTAAAGTTTAACAGAATTATTGACTTCCCATAGGAGGCAGTTGAGGGGTGAATAATTGCTAGTGTGGAAATAAATTCGCAAAAACCTAGCAAAACACTGTGATATTAAAAAAAATAATTTTTTTCTGATTTTGCTGGTTCAAATATTGAGCTAGCAGGAACATTTTTAAATAAGATTAGTTTAGAAGTGCAAAATTATTAGGATGGTCAAAGTATAGTAAAAACTTAACAAACCACTTTTTTTATTTCAGTTATAAGTAGAAAAGAGGAAAAAATTTCTTCGTAAATTTTAATCTAACACAATTATTGACTTTTCACAAGGGGTAGTTAAGGGGTGAAAAATTACTCGGGTTGTAATACATTTGTAAAAACCTAGCAGAACAATATGGTATATGGTATGGTATGGTATAACCGTAAGCCAACAGAATCGCTCCCCTTAAGGGTGGTTTGATTCTGAACAAATATTAGGATTGTAATTATTTAGTGAAAAATGGGAGAAAAAATATGTCATCAACAAAAAGTTTTTTTTTTAATTTTACTAACTTGAACCTTACGCCACCAGAATCGCTCCCCTTACGGTTGGTTTGGTGGTGAAAAATTATTAGGGTGGTAATAAATTAGTGAAAAATGGGTGAAAAAATATGCCATCAACAAAAAGTTTATTTTTTGAATTCTGCTAGCTTGAACCTTAAGCCAGCAGAATCGCTCCCATTAAGGGTGGTTTGGTGGTGAAAAATTATTAGGGTGGTAATAAATTAGTGAAAAATGGGTGAAAAAATATGCCATCAACAAAAAGTTTTTTTTTTGAATTCTGCTAGCTTGAACCTTAAGCCAGCAGAATCGCTCCCCTTAAGGTTGGTTTTGTGGTGAAAAATTATTAGGGTGGTAATAAATTAGTGAAAAATGGGTGAAAAAATATGCCATCAACAAAAAGTTTTTTTTTTTAATTCTGCTAGCTTGAACCTTAAGCCAGCAGAATCGCTCCCCTTAAGGTTGGTTTGGTGGTGAAAAATTATTAGGGTGGTAATAAATTAGTGAAAAATGGGTGAAAAAATATGCCATCAACAAAAAGTTTTTTTCCAAATTCTGCTAGCTTGAACCTTAAGCCAGCAGAATCGCTCCCCTTAAGGTTGGTTTGGTGGTGAAAAATTATTAGGGTGGTAATAAACTAGTGAAAAATGGGTGAAAAAATATTACGTAGGTTAAAATGGATTCCGCTCATGTGTCCCCGCTAGCTTAAGGGTGCTCTGCGACCGGTGGTTGGAGGGAAAGAGGGAGGCAGTGCTTGGAAACGCCCGGTTGTTAAATGCGCGCTATTACCACATTGAATGGCTCACATTCCATTTTTTCAAGATTTGATTTCCAATTTATGTAAGTCAGATGTTACGGTGGTTTGTTTTCATTTTCTAAACATCATGGTTAATTTAAAATTTCAGCAAGATTACTTAAATTTAATTTAATATGTAATTTTCAACTTGTCTCGCACCCCCCCCCTCAGGTCCTCACGCCGAACCCCTGCTGTAGATGAAATATATAAAATATAAATAATATTTTTAATTTCCCTCTCCATTTCAAGTTGGTAATACAGTTGGTAGTACTCAAAATTCATAAACGGTATTTTGTTAGACATTATTTTGAAAGTTGTTTTTTGTATCTTCTTCGAACTATGTAAACAATAATTGTCCTCCCACTTTCTCTTTCTGCTCGTGAAATGTGACTGAAATCAAGATTTGCAACGACAACTGTTTCAACATGTCGTCCTTCATTTTGTTTTTTAACTTTTTGACGTATGTATTAATTTTTAAGTGTCTTTTTAAACAGTAACATTTTTAAGGTTAGTTGCAATTCAGTACATATCATGTTATTTAAGGTCGTTGTTTATTCCCCGAATCTTAGATTCGGGTAAGTTTTTTATATCTTTTTTATTGTATCATTAAAATTGTTACAACATAGTAATTTTCTTTGTAAACCTTGATAAAGGTAAGAAAAAACCACCGAAAGCTTGGATTCAGAATAAGTAGTACGCCTTAGCAAAGCTCTATTTTTTATTGACTACCACACCCAAAAAGAAAAAAGTATTTACATATATATATATATATATATATATATATATATATATATATATATATATATATATATATATATATGAATATACATGTCTATATTCCGTATTCCGTATTTCCGTTAACTCTCTAATATTGCCCAATTTCTCATAAATACATCCCTGTTGAAACCGGTGAGGTAGATAGATAACTAAAGGGAAAATGATGAGATATGGCAATTAATAATATGACTGCACATTTCGCGATGACGTGACTTTAGAAGCAATTGTTTTTTTAAGCCTTCAGAAAAACCTCAATAATTGATGATTAGGCAAAACTCATACATATTCATGTGGTGTTTATGATACCAAATACGGTAAAATTGTATGTAAGATACCTACTAAACTGCACCCATGAGTTGGAAGCATTGGTTCTGCATCTGAAACCCAAATATTCCACCGTAACTATAAGAAAAAATATAATGTTTTTAAAACAATTTAACGAAATTTAAAAAGTATATTTTGTTGCCGTCATTCAATATGATAGATACATTTACTTGTTGCCATAGCTTTTCAAAATAGCCCTTTGGTGATTCACTGGTCGTAATAACAGATAGAAAAAACGAAAGTCTGTAAAAACTTACCCAAGAGCAGATAGTATACAATTATTCGATGATAATAGTTCAGAAGAAGAGCAAAACGAGATAATATATAACAGACCAGACTTCTTACATTTGAAAGTAGTAAAATAAATTTTTTTCTAATATAATGATGAGGTTGCCTGAGAAAAAATGGCCGAAAATTAGGGTTGCCAGGTATAAACATGTGATAATATGTATTTTATATCACGAAACACATTTTGGACTTTTTAAAACATAATTTTATTTCGAAAATACAATAAACAAAGTAACATGCTATAATTTTAATTTTACTGAACGAAAATAAAGAGCGACAAATTGTTTTATAAGATTGGTAAGTGCTGACTCTGTCGGAACTTGTTAAAACCTCGAGTACCGCTGACTCTGCTGATACTGCATGTGCAGGGATCCTCATCGGCTCTGGTGTTTGAAAGTTGAAACCTGATACCCTGGGAATCGTAGTTATAAGTAACATTGGTTGTTACAAGGCATATAACAGCTCCTTCGTCTTGGAAGGATCTTCCTCCAATTCCTGGCGAAGGCTGTCTCTAAGTGCCTTGGTGAAGAGGGTGGATGGTCATTGTCATTGGTATTGTCAATTCCTATGTTGTATCTTTTTTTGGATCTGCATTTACATATGAAGTAAAGAGCAACAAGAGTCACAATGACGACTATTGTTAAGATCGTGAACCAGCTCAGATGTTTGTTGATGAATGGGTCATTGATTAGTTTGTCGAGTTCTTCAGAATATTGATTGAGTTTGTCATGGGCTATCTCGAGGTCTTCAGTATTGATCTTACTAAGCTTCAGTGGTTTTAAGTCGAAAAGATTGTTCTTATTTGGGAAGTGTTTGTAGCAGATGAATGGTATTTGGACTGGGTGACTTCTATAATTAA